GTGCGAGGCTGTACGAGGCTCCGCCCACAAGCCCACGTCCCCCATGTTCCAGAAAAACACAAAAACACGACACAAAACTGGACACAACAACTGGACAAACCTGACGTGACGTCCACGAGTTTAAAGTCTCATTTAAAATCCCATTTAAAGTCTTGTGTAAAGTTGTAATTTTATGGACTTTTTCATTGACGGTTTATTCCCCACATTTGAATTGCTCAAAGAAAAATTCAATTTACCAAATTCTCACTTTTTTAAATTCTTACAAACCCGAAATTATGTTAAACATAATAATGTAAATTAACCAAGGCCCCGGCACAAAGACCCATTGAGTCATTATTTTTGAGTAACTCTGATACTAGAGGAGCAGATCAATACTTTATAATAAACCATCTCCATTTAATGATCATAATACTTTGCAATACTTAAAGGTTGTATAGAGGATTTTTTTTTTGTTTCAAATTATCACTGAAAGTTTAAAATACCATTACAGAGACGCAGCCTTGTAATTATGATGACCAAAAAAAAAAAGAAAAAAGAATGATCTGTGGACGTAGTGAGGCCAGACAAACATCAGCCAATAGAAAACAAGGCCACCTCATTTTCTATTGGCTGTTAGGTTGTCAATCAAACTCCCTAGTGTAACTGACTCGCCGGAGTGTGGGGATGACGTGGTTTTTGCAGCGGTTCTTAGAGGCTTTTTCAAACTGTCGCTTCCTCGCATTTCGCACAAAGTTTGTTGCGATGTCGGACGAGAATCGACGACCAGTTCACCGCAAAAGAAAGTCTGTTTTTGAGGTCGCCGAAAGAAGAAGAGAAGAGGAAAAGGAGCGAAGCCAAACTGAGGTGATTCTTGGAGATTCCTTCCAGCGATGGTGCGACTGAAGCAGACGAAGGGTCTAAAAACTGATGCATCGGTCGCTGAATTACTTCTAGACAGGAAACTTCAACAGTGATTCTGAACTTGCACCGGCTTTAAACAAGTGTGATTTGTAGAGTAAAGAGGCGGGAGGAGGAGATGTTTCTACTGAGGAGCTGTGGAGGAGGGAGGTGGTGTCACTCATGCACAAGGACGGTCGCTATGTTTCTCTTCCCTTAAAATATCCTCTATACAACCTTTAAGACAAGACTGGGAGGAAGAACTTGGTACTGAAATCTCAGAGGAGCAATGGGAACAGGTCCTGGACAAACACACACTGCCTCAGTTTGTGCGAGACAAAGTCTAATACAACTTAAGATTCTACACAGACTCCACTGGTCTAAACTCAGATTAAAGGTTGTATAGAGGATTTTCCAAGGAACGAGAAATCCAGCGACTGTTTGTCGTTTTTCAAATGTTGCTCCTGCGTGAAACCACCCCCCCCCCTGCACTGCTCCCTACAGAGAAACGCCTCCTCCTTCCTCCTCCTTACGCCACAAACAGGTTTGTTTACAGCTGCACATGACTTGTAAACAACTAACTACAGTGTTGGTGAGGCAAGACGGAGAAGTGAGGAGCGAGGGGGGGAGGAGAGAAGAGATTCAGTGCGAATGAACTAACTACAACACGCAGCAGCAAGCGACTCTTTCTTTGCCTTGAAAATGACGTTTTCAGACACAGGACGTCACATTCGTGTTGTGAAAAATGTTTGTGTTGCTCTTGGAAATAAAGTAGGTTTTCATAATAAGCAGAAGTTTTCTGTCCAGGAGTAATTTGTGGACCAGTGGTTCAGTCTTTAGACTCTTCGTCTGCTTCAGTCGCACCATCGCTGGAATGAATCTCCAAGAATCACCTTAGTTTGTCTTCGCTGCTTTTCCTCTTGTCTTCTTCTTTCACCTCAAAAACAGACTTTCTTTTGTGGCGAACTGCTCCTGGATTCTTGTCGCCATCGCAACAAACTTTGTGCGAACTGCGAGGAAGATATAGGTCAAAAAAGCCGCTAAGAACTGTTGCGTTGGTGGAGTAAACAGCGTCTGTGTCGTACGTAAACCACGTACCGGCGGCGCAGGACAAGTCAGTTACACTAGAAACGTAGGGAGTTTGATTGACAGCCTGTCAGCTCACAGATAACGAGGCAGTGTCGTTATCTACTGGCAAATGTTTAGCTCCCACCACGTCCAGAGTTGATGAATTTTTATTCTCTTTTTTTTTTCATCATAATTACAAGGCGACTGCATCTATAATCAATCACTGACAATTTGAAACAAAAAAAATCCTCCATACAAACTTTAAGTCAGATGTTCCCTGACGTAGACTCTGTGTAAACAGGCCCCAGACTCTTTGTCACGTGTGTTTTGGGAGAAGCTCTGAACTGTTCCATTTCTGCTCAAATGTTTTTCTAATATTGTCAAAAGCTCGACACAAATCTATTGATTTAAATCCTCTTACAGCAGGACTTGGGATAATAGACTCAAAAGTTGTTCAAAATAAATAAGATCAGAGCGTCAGGTGTTCACCTGTCTCTGTCTGCACCATGATTCATTTTACTGAAGTGGAAACAGGCAGAGCCTCCGTCACATGTGAACTGGTTCAGAGACGTTATGATGCATTTGGATCTAGAGAAAAGTAGATCCTCTTTGCAGGTCAGGAAGATCAATTTAACAGGATGTGGTGGCCTTTTATTATCTTATTTAAAGAAGGTATTTAAACTACTATTTAAGTCCGAGCTGATGGGATTTGTTCTATCCACCTTTTCAACTTCTACATGTTGGTGAAATATTATTACTTTTTGTCTGTGTGAATGTTCAGTTGCTTTTATTTCTGTTTTTTTTCTGTTTTACAACCATCCAACATATAATATTCATCATTTCTAAGGTCCTAAGATGTTATTGACAAATATAATGACATGTTTATTTTTGATGAACCTTGTTTGAGAGGCTGATTAATTTTTTTAACATGTCTGATTTCTTGTTTTATGGACTGACACTGTGGATGTCAAAAACACAATAAACAAAGTGTTAAAAAAAAAAAAAGTCTTGTGTAAAATCCCGTTTAAAGTGTAACTCTGTTGTTTTTTGTCAGTGATGTTTCGGTGGAGTTGCCGTTCACCCTGATGCACCCGAAACCCCCCGACGACCCGCCCCGAGACGGTGAGAGCCAATCACAGCGCAGCACTCACACCTCCTCCAATCACAGCGCAGCACTCACACCTCCTCCTCCAATCACAGCGCAGCCCTAACACCTCCTCCAATCACAGCGCAGCACTCACACCTCCTCCTCCAATCACAGCGCAGTACTCACACTCCTCCTCCAATCACAGCGCAGCACTCACACCTCCTCCTCCAATCACAGCGCAGCACTCACACCTCCTCCAATCACAGCGCAGCACTCACACCTCCTCCAATCACAGCGCAGCACTCACACCTCCTCCTCCAATCACAGCGCAGCCCTAACACCTCCTCCAATCACAGCGCAGCACTCACACCTCCTCCTCCAATCACAGCGCAGCACTCACACCTCCTCCTCCTCCAAAACAGTAATAATAATTAAAAAATAATAATAATAAAATAAAAATAAATAAATTGAAATAAAAATATTTTTTTCTCTTTTTAGTCTCAGACGAAGCTCCAGTCGACACAAACCTGATCCAGTTTGACACACAGTGAGTCCCACAAAGTCCTGGTTTAGACCGGGTTTAGACCTGGTCTTGGTCTGGGTTAGTCCTGGTCTTGGTCTGGGGTTAGTCCTGGTCTTGGTCTGGGTTAGTCCTGGTCTTGGTCTGGGTTAGTCCTGGTCTTGGTCTGGGTTAGTCTGGTCTGGTCTTGGTCTGGGTTAGTCCCTGGTCTTGGTCTGGGTTAGTCTGGGTTAGTCCTGGTCTTGGTCTGGGTTAGTCCTGGTTGTCTGGGTTAGTCCCTGGTCTTGTCTGGGTTAGTCTGGTCTTGGTCTGGTTTGGTCTGGTTAGTCCTGTTCTTGGTCTGGGTTAGTCCTGGTCTTGGTCTGGGTTAGTCCTGGTCTTGGTCTGGGTTAGTCCTGGTCTTGGTCTGGGTTAGTCCTGGTCTTGGTCTGGGTTAGTCCTGGGTTAGTCCTGGTCTTGGTCTGGGTTAGTCCTGGTCTTGGTCTGGGTTAGTCCTGGTCTTGGTCTGGGTTAGTCCTGGGTTAGTCCTGGTCTTGGTCTGGGTTAGTCCTTAGTCCTGGTCTGGTCTGGTTAGTCTGGTCTGGTTAGTCCTGGTCTTGGTTGGTCTGGGTTAGTCTGGTCTTGGTCTGGGTTAGTCCTGGTCTTGGTCTGGGTTAGTCCTGGGTTAGTCCTGGTCTTGGTCTGGGTTAGTCCTGGGTTAGTCCTGGTCTTGGTCTGGGTTAGTCCTGGTCTTGGTCTGGGTTAGTCCTGGGGTCTGGGTTAGTCCTGGTCTTTGGTCTGGGTTAGTCCTGGTCTTGGTCTGGGTTAGTCTGGGTTAGTCCTGGTCTTGGTCTGGTTAGTCCTGGTCTTGGTCTGGGTTAGTCTGGTCTTGTCTGGGTTAGTCCTGGTCTTGGTCTGGGGTTAGTCCCTGGTCTTGGTCTGGGTTAGTCCTGGTCTTGGTCTGGGTTAGTCCTGGTTTGGTCTGGGTTAGTCCTGGTCTTGGTCTGGGTTAGTCCTGGGTTAGTCCTGGTCTTGGTCTGGGTTATTCCTGGGTTAGTCCTGGTCTTGGTCTGGGTTAGTCCTGGTCTTGGTCTGGGTTAGTCCTGGTCTTGGTCTGGGTTAGTCCTGGTCTTGGTCTGGGTTAGTCCTGGTCTTGGTCTGGGTTAGTCCTGGGTTAGTCCTGGTCTTGGTCTGGGTTAGTCCTGGTCTTGGTCTGGGTTAGTCCTGGGTTAGTCCTGGTCTGGTCTGGGTTAGTCTGGTTCTTGGTCTGGGTTAGTCCTGGTCTGGTCTGGTTGGGTTAGGTCCTTCTTGGTCTTGGTCTGGGTTAGTCCTGGTCTTGGTCTGGGTTAGTCCTGTCTTTGGTCTGGGTTAGGTCTTGGTCTGTTCTTGGTCTGGGTTAGTCCTGGTCTTGGTCTGGGTTAGTCCTGGTCTTGGTCTGGGTTAGTCTGGTCTTGGTCTGGGTCTGTCTTGGTCTGGGTTAGTCCTGGTCTTGGTGGTCTGGTTAGTCTGGGTTAGTCTGGTTCTGGTCCTGGTCCTTGGTCTGGGTTAGTCCTGGTCTTGGTCTGGGTTGTCCTGTTCTTGGTCTGGTTAGTCCTGGTCTTGGTCTGGGTTAGTCCTGGTCTTAGGTCTTGGTCTGGTTGGTCTGGGTTAGTCCTGGTCTTGGTCTGGGTTAGTCCTGGTCTTGGTCTGGGTTAGTCCTGGGTTAGTCCTGGTCTTGGTCTGGGTTAGTCCTGGTCTTGGTCTGGGTTAGTCCTGGTCTTGGTCTGGGTTAGTCCTGTTCTTGGTCTGGGTTAGTCCTGGTCTTGGTCTGGGTTAGTCCTGGTCTTGGTCTGGGTTAGTCCTGGTCTTGGTCTGGGTTAGTCCTGTCTTGGTCTGGGTTAGTCCTGGTCTTGTCTGGGTTAGTCCTGGTCTTGGTCTGGGTTAGTCTGTCTTGGTCTGGGTTAGTCGCTGGTCTTGGTCTGGGTTAGTTCCTGGTCTTGGTCTGGGTTAGTCTGAGTCTTGGTTTTATACAGCGGGAGACCTCTGTGAGAACTGTGAGGAAGCCGCCGTCTGACCCTCTGAAGGGCTCAAATTTTTATTCGAAGTTTTAAGATATAAAATCCCCCAATGGTTTTATCCTGCCGCCTGTCATTGTGGATTTTAAATTACTGACAATTTAACAGTAAACTATCAGTCTAGCTCTAGACCTGGTTGCTCCACTCAAAACCAAAAAAACATCAAAACTAACTTAAAAACCTCCATGGAAACTGAAGAGCTAAAGAATCCAAAAGATGAGTGCAGGAGGGCAGAAGACGATTGGAGGAAAACAAATTACAATAAACCACCAATTAATCAGAAATTAACAACAGGGATATACACAACGAAGCAAATAAGAAATGCAAGAAAACCACTACTTTTCTACAATAAATTACCATACAAAAATAATCTAGGTCCTCTTCTCAACCATTGACAAACATTTAAAACCTAATTTTAGCACGTTTTAACTTAACACCACTGACTCTCTCTGTGAGGCAGTTTGGCAGACCACTTCAACGGGTAAGATAAACACTATCAGATGTGGATATTTTACTCTGTCAAAGCTCTGTTTTATACATCTGAGTGTTTGCTTGGACCAGAGGAAACACTGGACAGTTTTGTCCTGGTTAATGCTGAGATGCTCGACAAAGTTTTCCTCCTCAGTGAGGCCCACCACATGTCTTTTAGATCCATTCCTAACCCCATTTTTTAAGTCCATTTTATGGATCTTTTAAGGGATGAGCTTTTTAAAACCGCATATGCTTGCTCTCTTCAGACGGGGTCTTTCCCCACTGCCTTCAAACTGCAGTGGGTCGAAGGCCCCCTGCTGAAGAAGAGCAATTTTAAGATTTTAATGATTCAACAAACTACCGACCAGTTCCCTAACCTACCATTTTTCTTTACAAGGCAAATTTTAGAAAAAACTTGTTTTTATCCCAGCTAGAATAATTTTTTAGATGATCATAACATGTTGGAAAAATTCAGTCTGGTTTTAGGTGGAACCACTAGCACCGAGACCCTGCCTTGGAAGATTTTAAATGATTTAGGGAATAATTATGATTCACAGAACGGTGACCGTGTTTGGTTCTACTGGATCTGAGCGGCTGCCTTTGACACAGTAAGACCACACTATTCTTTTAAACTCGCCTACAAAAGACCTCGCCTCTCCGGTGCTGTTCACAAATGGTTCACATCCTACTCACAGACAGAACATTTATGGTGAAGTGTAGACACATGCTCTCGGGTCCTAAAATCATATGTGGTGTGCCCAGGGCTCCATTTTTAGGCCCTGTGCTTTTTAATTTGTACATGCTCCCTCTTGGTGGTGTCATCAGGAGACATGAATTAACTTGCCCAGCTACCAGATGATACGGCAGCTTTACATCTCATGTCTCCTGATGACACCAGAACCAATGGATGCTCTTTATTACTGCATTCTAGATATCCAAAACCTGGATGGCAGAAAACTTTCTCAGCTTACACCAAGGACAAAACTGAGGTTTAGTCATTGGTCCTGAGGCCCAGAGAGGAAGCTTTTACCCAAACTAACAAGCACAAGTTATATTCAATTCAGCTCTTTTTTAAACCCTTCACACTCAAGTGAAAAACCTGGGCGTCATTTTTGACTCTGAGCTGACTTTTATTCCACACAATTAAGAACATTACAAAAATTGGTTTCTATCACCAAAAACATAGCCAGAGTCCGCGGTCCGAGGGCCATTCTCTCTCTCGCCAAACATACAGAGAACGCTGATGCCATGCTTTTATCACAGTGCGAAATAGACTACTGTAAATGCCTGCTCTCTGGTCTCCAAAAAGAAGTATTTTCGGGTTTGCAATTATTACAAAATTCAGCAGCACGTGTCCTGACAGGACAGAGGGCGGGACCACAATTACAACAGTTTTAGAATCACTGCATTGGCTCCCTGTGAAGTTTCAGGATCGATTTTAAAGTTCTTTTACTGGTTTTTAAAATGTCTTAATGGTCTTGGCCTTCTATCTTTCAGAACTGCTTTTAACTACGAACCCTCGCGGACCCATGCGCTCCTCCGGCAGCAGGCTCGCTCATTCCCAAAGTCAGGACACACAACTCACGGAGAGGCGTCTTTTTCAGTTAATGGCCCCCGTTATGGAACTGGTTGCCTGCCGGAGAGAGGCTCAGGGTCTGCAGAGAACGTTCATGTTTTTAAGAGCAGGCTCAAGACCCACTTTTTTAGCTAGCTTTTTGGATTAAAATTCTTTACTTTTACCTGTTTTCTATTCTACACATTTTATATATTTTTTATTTTAGGCATATTTTTTTAGGATTTCCGTGTTTCCTCTGTAGGAGCCCTCTGCATCGTTCGGCGGAGCGGAGGTCGGCTGTGGCTGCCGGGTTCGTCCCGTGGGCTCCTGGTGGAGAGTTGGTGCCTTAGGCTTCATCTCTCCCCTGGCTCCGGTGTGGGTTACTGTTGGTGGTGACGTCTCTCTGCTCCTTGGTGTAGAAGCTATCCTCTGATGGTGCTTCCAACTGGTTCAAACTGTATTCAGCCTCACAATTTTTACCTATAGGGGATTTATGTATTTTATCTATCTTAGGGTGTGTGTGTGCGCGTGCAGTGTGTGCTTGTGTGGTGTGCGTATGTGTGCGAGTGGGTGTGTGTGTCTGGGTTGTTTTGGTTGTGTGGAGTTGGGCAGGTGGGGGTTGGATAAGTGGGTGGGGTGGATTGGAAATGTGGGATTGTTTTTAAATACTGTAAAGCAACTTTGTGTTACGTTTTTTTGTATGGAACCCTTTATAAATAAAGTTTGATTTGATTGATTGATTATTTGGTCTGGGTTTAGCCCTGGTCTTGTTCTGGGTTAGTCCTGGTCTTGGTCTGGTTAGTCCTGTTCTTGGTCTGGGTTTAGTCCTGGTCTTTGGTCGGTTAGTCCTGGTCTTGGTCTGGTCTGTTACTTGGTCCCTGGGTTAGTCCTGGTCTTGGTTGGGTTAGTCCTGGTCTTAGTCCTGTTCCTGGGTTTAGTCCTGGTCTTGGGTCTGGGTTAGTCCTAGTCCTGGTCTTGGTCTTGTCTGGGTTAGCTTAGTCCTAGTCCTGCTTTGGTCTGGGTTAGTCCTGGTCTCTGGGGTTCTTTGGTCTGGGTTAGTCCTGGGTTAGTCCTGGGTTCTTGGTCTGGGTCCTAGTCCTTGGTCTTGGTCTGGGTTAGTCCTGTTCTTGGTCTGGTTAGTCCCTGGTCTTGGTCTGGGTTAGTCCTGGTCTTGGTCTGGGTTAGGTTTGGTCTGGGTTAGTCTGGTCTGGTCGGGGTCCTGGTTAGCCCTGGCTTGGTCTGGGTTAGTCCTGGTCTTGGTCTGGGAGTGGTCTGGGTTAGTCCTATTCCTGGTCTTGGTCTGGGTTAGTCTGGGTTAGTTGGTCTCTGGGTTAGTCTGGGTAGTCCTGTTCTTGGTCTGGGTTAGTCCTGGTCTTGGTCTGGGTTTGGTCCTGGGTTAGTTCCTGGTCTTGGTCTGGGTTAGTCCGTCCTGTCTTGGTCTGGGGTCCTGTTCTTGGTCTCTGGTCTTGTCTGGTTAGTCCTGGTTTGGTCTGGGTTAGTTGGGTTTAGTCCTGGTCTTGGTCTGGTTAGTCCTGTCTTGGTCTGGGTTAGTCCTGGTCCTTGGTCTTGGTCTGGGTTAATCCTGGGTTAGTCCTGGTTTGGTCTGGGTTAGTCCTGTTCTTGGTCTGGGTTAGTCTGGTCTTGGTCTGGGTTAGTCCTGGTCTTGGTCTGGGTTGTCCTGGTCTTGGTCTGTCCTGGTCTTCTGGTTAGTCCTGTTCTTGGTCTGGGTTGGTCTGGTTCTGGGTTAGTCCTGGTCTTGGTCTGGGTTAGTCCTGTCTTGGTCTGGGTGTCCCTTGGTCTGGGTTAGTCCTGGTCTTGGTCTGGGTTAGTCCTGGTCTTGGTCTGTGTTAGTCCTGGTCTTTGGTCCTGGGGTCTTTAGTCCTTGGTCTTGGTCTGGGTTAGTCCTGGTCTTGGTCTGGGTTAGTCCTGGTCTTGGTCTGGGGTGTGTCGGGGTAAAGTGCTCTGTTCCTCTGGGATCCATTAAATCTCATTAGAACCATTAGAGTTTCCACTGAGTCCACAGAGTCTGAGACCAGGACTAAACCAGGACTAAACCAGGACTAAACCAGGACTAAACCAGGACTAAACAGACTAAACCTGGACTTGACCAGAATAAACCAGGACTAAACCACCGGACTGGACCAGGACTGGACCAGGACTGGACCAGGACTGGACTGGACCAGGACTGGACCAGGACTGGACCAGGACTGGACCAGGCTAGGTGCAGCTCTGACAGGTGTGACAGGTGCAGGCAGGTGCAGGTGTCTTACTGTCCCTGTCGTTTCAGTGATGATGACATCGTGTTTGAAGATTTCGCTCGGGAGCGTCTGATTGGTGCAAAAGACGAGGAGGAGGAGCCTGTGGACTCGCCCAAAGCGGAGGAGAGATAG